TCATGATCCCATCAGTTCCAGCTGCTTTACCCACTTTCATTCTACGTAATGCCTCATGTACCTCCCCTACACTTACATTCTGCTCTTCTTCACTCCTAAAAGATGGTATACCTCCCTGGCCAGTGCATGAAATTACCGCCTCCCTTTCTTCCTCAACATTTAAAAGTTCCTCAAAATATTCTCGCCATTTACCTAATACCTCCCTCTCCCCATCTACTAACTCCCCTACTCTGTTTTTAACTGATAAATCCATACTTTCCCTAGGCTTTCTTAACTTGTTTAACTCACTCCAAAATTTTTTCTTATTTTCATTAAAATTTCTTGACAGTGCCTCTCCCACTCTATCATCTGCTCTCCTTTTGCACTCTCTCACCACTCTCTTCACCTTTCTTTTACTCTCCATATACTCTGCTCTTCTTATAACACTTCTGCTTTGTAAAACCTTCTCATAAACTACCTTTTTCTCTTTTATCACACCCTTTACTTCATCATTCCACCAATCACTCCTCTTTCCTCCTGCCCCCACCCTCCTATAACCACAAACTTCTGCCCCACATTCTAATACTGCATTTTTAAAAACTATTCCAACCCTCTTCAACCCCCCACTACTCATCTTTGCACTAGCCCACCTTTCTGCCAATAGTCGCTTATATCTCACCCAAACTTCCTCCTCCCTTAGTTTATACACTTTCACCTCTCTCCTACTTGTTGTTGCCACCTTCCTCTTTTCCCATCTACCTCTTACTCTAACTGTAGCTACAACTAAATAATGATCCGATATATCAGTTGCCCCTCTATAAACATGTACATCCTGGAGCCTACCCATCAACCTTTTATCCACCAATACATAATCTAACAAACTACTTTCATTACGTGCTGCATCATACCTTGTATATTTATTTATCCTCTTTTTCATAAAATATGTATTACTTATTACCAAATCTCTTTCTACACATAGCTCAATTAAAGGCTCCCCATTTACATTTACCCCTGGCACCCCAAATTTACCTATTACTCCCTCCATAACATTTTACCCACTTTAGCATTGAAATCCCCAACCACCATTACTCTCACACTTGATTCAAAACTCCCCACGCATTCACTCAACATTTCCCAAAATCTCTCTCTCTCTCCTCTACACTTCTCTCTTCTCCAGGTGCATACACACTTACTATGACCCACTTTTCACATCCAATCTTTATTTTACTCCACATAATTCTTGAATTAATACATTTATAGTCCCTCTTTTCCTGCCATAGCTTATCCTTCAACATTATTGCTACTCCTTCTTTAGCTCTAACTCTATTTGAAACCCCTGACCTAATCCCATTTATTCCTCTCTATTGAAACTCTCCCACCCCCTTCAGCTTTGTTTCACATAAAGCCAGGACATCCAGCTTCTTCTCATTCATAACATCCACAATCATCTCTTTCTTATCATTTGCACAACATCCATGCACATTCAGACTTCCCACTTTGACAGTTTTCTTCTTATTCTTTTTAGTAATCTTTACAGGAAAAGGGGTTACTAGCCCATTGTTCCCAGCATTTTAGTTGACTTTTACAACACGCATGGCTTACGGAGGAAAGATTCTTATTCCACTTCCCCATGGATATTAAAGGAAAAGTAATAAGGCCAAGAACTATTAAGATAACATTCAAGAAAACTCAGATGAGTGTGTATAAATAAACGTGTACATGTATGTGTAGTGTGACCTAAGTGTAAGTAGAAGTAGCAAGACGTACCTGTAATCTTGCATATTTATGAGACAGACAAATCCACTTTACCACAACTAAATAAGAAATGCAAAGATAGGCTAAATGCTCTCAAAGCTGTTGCTGGCTACAACACCAACTATGGTGCAAATGTGAGAATTGTGAGAATGATGTACATAGCTTATATTAGGTCCTTAATTGATTATGCTACTCCCATGCTGATATTAGCTAAAGAAAGTTCTCTCCAACCCTTGGAGTTAATGCAAAATGAAGCTCTCAGAATTATACTTGGCTGTCCCAAATCTACGAAGGTTCTTAATATGAGGAAGGAGCTTCGTATTTCTAGTATCAGTGATGGGATTGTTGAGATTAATACTGTCCTCGGTATTAGAATGTTAAGAAATGAACCAGACACTGTCACAATGAATCTTACTAAGTGTCTCAAAGTAAACACACACAGATTTAAATGGATTGTGAAAACTTGCAATTGCATTAAGTTTTATAACCTGCATGAACTGTATCACTGTAGACAACAAGAGCATTTCACCCATCCATGGAAGATGTGTTCATTTAATATCACATACCTGCAAGTCCCTCCCAAGAAGCTCATTGCTAGTAATCCCTTCCTTAACCCCTTCAGGGTCCAAGGCCCAAATCTGAAGTGGTGCCCCAGTGTCCAAGAATTTAAAACAAAAATTTTTTATTTTTTCTTATGAAATGGTAGAGAATCTTTTTGTGAAGGTAATAAAACAAAAAGTACGAAATTTGATGGAAAATTGACGAAATTATTCTCTCGCGAATTTTGATGTGTCAGCGATATTTACGAATCGGCAATTTTGCCGACTTTGACTCCCATTTTAGGCCAATTACATTATTCATGTCAATCAAATTCTTAGCTATTTCACTAGTATTACTTCTATTCTATCGATTGAGCACAAGAAATCGCCAGGTCATCTGTTTCAACTACAAATTAAAGTGATCGGAAATTGGTAATTTGGCCAATTTAACACAAAGTTCAAAATATTCCAATTTCAAAATAGGGTCCAGAATAAACAATGTAGGTATTCCTGGAACTAAACTAACATTTCCTCTGTTCATTAGTTATGTTTTGAGGCTTTAGAAATAAATTCCATTTTGATTTTTTATTCACACAATGAATTTTTATTCACACCAAAAAATAGAAGATTTACTGTTATGCAATACTGTAATAATTGTATAAATATCATCACCATATTTGTGAATGCATATTAGACCCATCAGCTGGCGTGTATTAGACGTGAGGTCGTGTGTTTACTCTTGAATATCGGCAAAAATTTAACATTTCTGCTACTTTGAGCTCAGTTTCAAGCCATTTCCAGTGCTAAAACCAATCAAAATTCATCTTTATTTCTGTAATATGTCTTCTATTCTATCAAATGAGACCAAGAAATCGCAAATACAACTATAAAAAGCATACGAAAAAACACTGCAAAGTCGCTGTTTTAATCGAAAAATCATGATTTCAGTTTTTTCTCTCATTATACACAGTGTGCTGCAGGATCTGTTTTATGTGGTGCACACATACCACATAGATGTATTCTCTCATATCTAGGCCCAAATGTACCACTCACAGTTTATCAGAGTGAGCTGAGCTCATGACGTAGATCTACAGTTTGGACCCTGAACATAAAGCCGTAGATCTGCGGGACGGACCCTGAAAGGGTTAAATCACTTGTTAAAGCAACGACACTGAGCTTGACTCTATCATCATTACTGATTCTATGTCATCACTGTATGCTCGTAACTCATATACTGACTCCAACAACATGCTCATTGGAGAAGCCAGGTATAGATACTCAAAAATCAGGGACAAAGGAATTAATGTACAATTGCTATGGATCTCATCACACATTGGATTACTCCTTCATGATAAAGTTGATATGTTAGCCTAGAAGAGTACCCAGAAGGAGAATGTAGAATATAACTTTGGTATATCTGTGTTTAGCATTAGGAATAATATTAGGAGAGAAGTAAGTAATGAAAATGATTGTTATAGGAATGCAGGAAGAAGCCTGAGTAGATCTATGATAACATGAACGTAGATAAGTAGGTTTATGGAGCAACTTGCAATGTGAACACACTGACGGATGTTGTAGTGGCCAGGCTTAGGCTTGGTTACAAGTACTTCTGGCAGTTTGGGAGACACAGATGATGATCAAACTAAATGCAAATTATGTGATCAGGCATATGGTCACTGTCTTGAACACTATGTGCGTAATTGTCCATTTATTGATGAATACAGAGATACGTACAGTATAATAACCTATGTGACATGTCAAGATATCTTATTAATGAAAATAAGATACCAGATATACTAAGCAAATTTCCTAAATTTGCTTGTAACAGAAAAGTGAACTATAGATATATAGATATAAATCCATATGTACTCCTGTTAACCCTTTGGGGCCTAGTTCCTGTTCCTTTTGTGTATCCATATGTTCTTGTGCTACTGTCCACAGGATGGACATGGGGTGCACAATAAACTAGCCATTTTGGTGGCAAAATCTAATCTAGCCTCCATAAATATCTTATTATTATGTGTCTCTTAAGTTAATGTATTGTCAGTTTTCCTATCAGTGGTCAGTTAGGCATAGTAGCTCTACCTCAAACCTTCAAGAGACACAGGAGCTGCAGCTCAACTGCCCTAATAGGTGTAAAGCCTTATATAATAATAATAATAATATCTTTTTTTACTATAAGTACGTGCACAAGGTATACAGGCCTATCTGACATTGATGACATACTACTTTATAAAAAGCCGCTTGTTATGCAGAGCATTTCGGGCAAATTAGGTCAGTTTTTGTTCCAAGATACGACCCACACCAGTCAACTAACACCCAAGCACCCATTTTAACTGATGGGTGGCATAGACAATCAGTGTAAAGAAACATCCCCAATGTTTCTACCCTCACTGGGAATCAAACCCACACATTGCTCTAGCTACCAGGCCACAGGGCACCATATGGGCCAGTAGGCCTGTTGCAGTTTTCCTCCATTCTTATGTTGTCCATGTACTCTGAAAAATGGTATGAGGACATCAACAAGATGTGGAAATGGACACTTATGTACAGTTCAGGACATTTATTAGAGGAAACATTTTGTCACTAGTAGCATCTTCAGTCCTAATCTACAGTCATTAAGACTGAAGAAGCCACCAGTGGCAAAACGTTTTCTCTAATAAATAATAAATGACCTGAACTGTACATAAATTTCTTTTACCACAACGTAATGTACTGTGTTCCTCATATAAGGTAATTGTCTCTCAGGTAGAGATGGCAGAGGCGCGAGGAGGTATTGGAGTGATCCTGTACAGCGACCCCGAGGACTATGCGCCAGAAGGCAGTAACTTTGTTTACCCACACTCCTACTACATGCCGCCTTCTGCTGCACCATTTGGAACCATTAAACTGCCCGGTGGTGATCCTGTCACTCCTTATTATCCCGCTACAGGTTAGTGGTCTGAGGGGTTTTAGACAGGTCACTATGCTGTCAGACTCACACAATTAAAAAACACCTGATGGGTTTAGTAAACGACAGAAAGAAAAAATATGACCACCTGGCCTGGTGGCTAAAGCTCCCGCTTCACACACGGAGGGCCCAGGTTCGATTCCCGGCGGGTGGAAACATTTCGACACGTTTCCTTACACCTGTTGTCCTGTTCACCTAGCAGCAAATAGGTACCTGGGTGTTAGTTGACTGGTGTGGGTCGCATCCTGGGGGACAAGATTAAGGACCCCAATGGAAATAAGTTAGACAGTCCTCGATGAAGCACCGACTTTCTTGGGTTATCCTGGGTGGCTAACCCTCCGGGGTTAAAAATCCGAACGAAATCTAAAGGGAGTCGAGTAGGGTAGCTCCAAGATGGTCGCCTCTTATCCTGAAAATCAGGAAGGTGGCTCTAATTTTCTTATTATTAGGTGTAGAACAATAATTTTTATATCTAACCTAGGGTTTTCAGGGTCAGGGAATTCAGAGGTGCCAGTAGAACCTCAGTATGCCTAACGAGACCCTTAAATCAAAGAGTGATGCCAACAGTCATGAATGAAGACAGCATTACCAAAGCTGTCATAATGTTTCACTTGAGAAGCAGTTGTAGGGACAGTGTACAAACTCCTATTTTTCAAAAATATCTTTATCGACATATTTCAGAATTTGTAGATGAATGGTTCAGAGAACCAACATGTTGATGAATTAGACACATGTGCAACTCTTGGGTATCTTTATTGAGGAAACGTTTCGCCACACAGTGGCTTCATCAGTCCATACGTAGGAGAAACTTGAAGAACAGGAGGAGAATGAGGTAATCAGTCCCTCAACCTTGAGTCAATGTGTTCAGTCCATCAATCTTGGACTGAACACATCGACTCAAGGTTGAGGGACTGATTACCTCATTCTCCTCCTGTTCTTCAAGTTTCTCCTACGTATGGACTGATGAAGCCACTGTGTGGCGAAACGTTTCCTCAATAAAGATACCCAAGAGTTGCACATGTGTCTAATTTATCAACATATTTCAGAATAATGTGCCTCAGAAAGTATTCTGATTGATTCAGTGGAAAATCTTATTAAATCAAAATAATAATCAACTTTTAAACTTACAAGATTAATAAGATAAATTAAAATGAAAAGTTAACAAAAGTCTTTCAGCTCATGTGGAAGCTGGTGGTGCGCACCACCAGCTTCCAGTTTTCGATCTTGTACCCCAGGATGTGTCCCACACCAATCAACTAACACCCAGGTTCCTGGAGGTGCAACAGACAAGGAGTAGAAACAGCAGTCAGAACACACAGCAAGAGGATTCCCGGAGCTTCCCCAGCACTTGGGCTGTGGCCCAAAGCTGGGGTGTGGCTCCAAAAGGATCCTCTAGTGCTTGCTGCCTTTGCACTTCCTGACATCATCTGCTGCTACATAGCTGCCACACCCTTTGAGCCTCATGGAGCAGGGTTAATGGCAGACCAAGGTGCCTAGCTTCTTCCTATGAGCCCCGTGAGGGTGGGGAGTGGGGCTAGGCCTGGGGACAATTGGTTCCAGAAGATAGTTACAAACACCTCTTCCCATGGAAGACATTAGTCAGTACACTCCCTTTGTGGGAAGCCAAGGCCAGGTAACCAAATGGAGAAGGCCTGAACTGGGACATTACCGGTAAACTTCATACTACTGCCAGGCACCTACTTACTACTAGGTGAACAGGGACGGCAGGTGTAAGGAAACATGATGCCCAATGTTTCCACTCATGCCGGGGATTGAACCATGGACACTCAGTGTGTGAGGTGAGAGCATTAACAGCTGAGCCACAATACCTTGAGACAACGGAATTTGTTGGAGGAAAATGTTCGGCCATCACAAATGAATTTGCAGAGATGACATTCTCAGTTATTATTTCATAACACTTTGCCCATTATACATAACTGCCTGAAGAATTAGACATGTGTGTAACATCTGGGTACCTTTACTTGTAGACATTTCTCCAACATATGCTGGTTCTCCCTTACCATGAAAACTTGGTTGATATGCCTTCTCTTCTTAAGACTTTTAATATCAATGTTCTATTTAAAAATCTTGATACAGTAAAAAAACTTTTGATAAAGAATTCCCCCAAAATGCTGACGGATGTGTTTATAAGGTTCCTTGTAAAATTTGCGATAAAGTTTATTACAGTCAAACTGGTAAAAGTCTCGAACTAAGATGAAAACAACATAAATATAGCATTAGAACTGGACAAGATTCCATGCTCTATTTATTTATGTGAGAGATTTTAACCATCCAATTGATTTTCAAATAGTTAAAGTTGTATCAAGAAAGTCCATGGTCGACAGAAATATAATTAAATCTTTTTTCATAAAAAGCAGTTTTGAAAATATGAATATTTCCTTTGGTTTATATAAATTAGATCCATTTATAATTAACAGAATTTGGGTAGAATTTAATAATACTTTGGACAAATAATAAATCTTAATTCTTGGGTAGAATAGTTTGTGGGATGCTGTGAAGGACCTGTCAAGTTGGGCCAGTGGGCCCACTGCAGCGTTTTCTCTCTCCTAGGCCTATACCTTGACAACAACCTGAATTTCAGCACCCATATCCAGCACATATCAAAAAAAGTATCCAAAACAGTTGGGATCCTACATGCCACAAAATGCCCTTCTCACACTATACCATTCACTCATTTATCCATACCTCACCTATGCTATTTGTGCTTGGGGATCAACTGCAGCAATACACCTAAAGCCAATAATAACTCAACAAAAAGCTGCAATAAGAATAATCGTTAATTCCCATCCCTGGCAACACACACCCCCACTCTTCATAGATCTAAACTTACTCCCTGTTCAGAACATCCACACAGGCATAACACCAGACACAAACATCTCTACAACATTCCCCGTGTCCAACTAAACCTTTACAAAAACTCAATGTATGTCAAAGGCCCTAAAATCTGGAACACTCTACCTGAAAACTCTAGAACAGCAGACACATTCATCACCTTCAAAACTATTGTTAGAAAACATCTTATCTCCCTGATACACCCCGTCAACTAACTGCATAAAAACCACCTGGTGGTCCACATTTACACTCACTCACTCACCCATTTGACTATAAGCACAGAAATACGTATCCTAATCTTAAAATAATGATTCCTAACTAGTCATAAGTTTGCCTGTGATATTCCAATATAGAAACTATGTATTGTGCCAAAACAAAAGCATTCACATTGCTAAACTCACAAACTAGTATTTGTCACTTAGTATTTAGTCACTTAGTATTTAGTCACTTAGTATTTAGTCAACTTACTCCACAATTTGTTATAATTTAGGGTTAAGAATTAATCTAAGTTTGCCCGAAATGCCTAGCCATGCTGGGTGTTCAAGTGGCCCCTCTGTAATTAGTATTTTACTACATATAAACCACACAATAACCAAAATCTGTAAACCCTGCATTGTAATCCTTATAGAGAATAAACTTTGATTTGATTTGATTTAATGAGTCACGTGTCGTCGTGTGTCAGGTGTTGCTTTGCACATACACACACACACGCACATATATCTTTCTTTCAACACACCGGCCGTATCCCACCGAGGCGGGGTGGCCCAAAAGAAAAAACGAAAGTTTCTCCTTTTACATTTAGTAATATATACAGGAGAAGAGGTTACTAGCCCCTTGCTCCCGGCATTTTAGTCGCCTCTTACAACACGCATGGCTTACGGAGGAAGAATTCTGTTTCACTTCCCCATGGAGATGAGAGGAAATAAACAAGAACAAGAACTAGAAAGAAAATAGCAGAAAACCCAGAGGGGTGTGTGTGTGTGTGTGTGTGTGTGTGTGTGTGTGTGTGTGTGTGTGGTGTGTGTGTGTGTGTGTGCAGATGGATTTATGAAGGATGAGGTTAATCATAGAATTGATGAGGGAGAAAAGGTGAGTGGTGCGTTGAGGTATATGTGGAGTCAAAAAACGTTATCTATGGAGGCAAAGAAGGGAATGTATGAAAGTATAGTAGCACCAACACTCTTATATGGGTGTGAAGCTTGGGTGGTAAATGCAGCAGCGAGGAGACGGTTGGAGGCAGTGGAGATATCCTGTTTAAGGGCAATGTGTGGTGTAAATATTATGCAGAAAATTCAGAGTGGGGAAATTAGGAAAAGGTGGGGAGTTAATAAAAGTATTAGCAAGGGCAGAAGAGGGGTTGTTGGGTGGTTTGGTCTTTGAGAGAAGGGATCAAAGTAGAATGACATGGAGAGCATATAAATCATAGGGGAAGGGAAAGGGGGGGGTAGGGGTCACCCAAAAGGGGTTGGGAGAGAGGGGGAAAGGGAGTTTTGTGGAAAGGGGCTTGATTTCCAGCAAGGGGCTTGACTGTTGATGGGCTGAATGGCGACGAATGGTACTTGGGATACGGTCTTTTGGAGTGTGGAGGGTAAAATTTTTGTGAAAGGGGTTCAGGGGAAAACCGGGTTTTTTTCATATATCGGGCTTGAGTCCGGAAATGGGAAGTACAAAGCCTGCACTTTAAAAGGGGGGGTTTGGGGTATTGGCAGTTTGAGGGATATGTTTTGTATCTTTATATTGTATCTTCAAACTGTTGATTTGACCCTCTGCAAAAACAGTGATAATGTGTAGTGTGGTAAATGTTGAATGATGATGAGAAAGTTTTTTTTCTTTTTGGGGATTTTCCTTTTTTTTTGGGTCACACTGCCTCGTGGAGACGGCCGACTTGGTGAAAAAAAAAAAAAAAAATAAAATAATGTATATATAGTATATATGTTTCCTTGGTAGTAGGCTTGGTTAGACAGCAACCGCCCAGGGAGGTACTTACCGTCCTGGCCAAGTGAGTGTAATAACGAAAGCTGTGATTGTTTTTACATGATTGTAGGATTGCTGGTGGTCCTTTTTTCTGTCTCATGAACATGTCTAGATTATCAGTACATCTTGCTACTTCTACTTACACCTAGGTCACA